CTTTGCGGGATTCAGTCATCCCATCTGATATGAAGGATTAATCCCTGCCACACTGAGGCCAGGAAGCAAGACAGAGGATCAATGGAAATCACCGAAAGATTTTAGACCAATAACCTGTCATGATCATTTTTCATGTTCTTTTGTTCCCTTATGTTCTCATTTTTATCCAAGCCCATTCTCGATACTCAGGGAGCTGTACGGGAGTGTGGACAAAGTAGTGTCTTCGTCTTCATGCCACATCTTTTTAGGACACATTTTAGCCTACAAAGAAATAGCTGACCATTTACAAACATTCATAACACCTTCTGGGAGAAAATGGATAAACTTGAACGCTACCTACACATAAAGTTCAACTTGACTTATACAAAAGTGGCGTCCAAACCCTCTAGCGGACCCATGGAAGAGAAACGAGGCTTTCTGCTTCTGTAAAAATGTACGGTCTAGGAAACCCTCTGGAGCGGGTCCACTCTGTCAGCCAGGGTTGCTGGGACTTGAAATTGACTCCATAGCAGTGGGCTAAGTTATAATGACATCAGAGGCCCTGGTTGGTGACAACATCTCCTCTACACATTTGCTAAAGGAAAGTTTAAATTGGAATTCACCTAGAGAAACCCAGAAAGAAAGCTCGTATGATCTACGTCTGCAAAGCTTGCCATCGGAAACCCTGTGGAGTACAGTTCTCTTCTGCGTATAGTAGAATGCTGACTCACATGGGGTCACCATTCATTGTAATGGATTGGAGAAATTGGTAAAAGGGGATACTAATTATCTGCTAATGAACAATTCTCACATGCTGTGGGTTAGACAGTAGTTGCTAAGTAAAACACTGGCAGTTCAAACTCACCAGCTCCTCTGTGAGCGAAAGATCAGACTGTTGGCTTCTCTAAATATTTACAGTCTCTGAAACCCTCCACAAGGACACTCTGAATTGGAATTGCCTCAAAGGCAATAGGGTTGGTTTTTGTAATGGACATGTGCTACAGATGTCAGAGGTCAAGTGGAATTATGGCCAAATGTTCTTAGGGCCTCTATGTTCTCAAAAAGTGCAGCTAGAAAACTAAGTCAAGAAATTTGGGGGAGGGCTAACTTAGCTAGATCATTGTGTACTCGAAGATTAGTGTGTTTTAAAGTCAATTCACAGGCAATATGGAGTCATACTCTTTGACGGCTTACAGCTTGACATTCCAAATGGAAATTCTTACTTTGTCTTGAGTAGTTGAGTTCCTATTTCATTGCATTCCCAATACATTGAACAGTAATTTTGTCAGCCCCAAATGAATTTACATTGGTTTTTTTTAATCCTATTTATAAAGGAATATGCAATGACTACTAATAGGTACAGCCGCAGCTCGTGATTCATTTTATAAGCTTCCCCTCACAGTTCTTTGCTACATAGACAGTCTTTGTGTTTTATTACTAGTTTCTTCCATTGCGTCATGCTCTCAGTGGGATGGTGTGTCTATATTTTATTTTACTCCTGCTATTAATTACCTAGAGGCCTGTATCATGTCTCCTACAGCCCCATTCATTATTACGGTGCCTGCTGGTGTCCCTGCAGCTAGCAGTCTGTCAGCATTTCCATTAGAAACCCCATTTCACAGGGGCTTAAAATTCTGCTGTAAAAAAAAAAAAGTGCTTTAGGCTTCACATGTATAGAGTGCACGGTATGAAGCATGACGTGCTTTATTTTTAGCTCACGAAAGACATATTTGGGGAAAAGTCTCTTTCAAAGCCAATGTGCGTGTAGACCCCATTTCTTGTGATGAGAAAAATGGTTTGTTTTCTTTTCCCAAACACAATGAAAAGCTGTAAAAATGAAAGTGTTCTGCTGTTGATGGTGGTTTGGGGGTTTGTTTGTTTGTTTCTTCAAAATGAAAACATCTCTGCCTAGTTTATGAAAATCTTGATACAATGTAAAAGTTCAATATATTTTCCAATCTTCTCTTCACATCAATTTTCTTAAAACTCTGGATGATATTTTTCACGAGGTCTTGTAATATGTTTGTATTCACTGAGAAATCTCAGGAACTGTTCCCTTGAGCATTTAAAAGGAATCTCTGAAACATATGGAGTGGTTCATTGCTATTGTTATTGTGGTTAGGGGCCCTCCAGTCTGTTCCCACCCACAGCGACCCTTTGCAAAATAGAAGAGAACCCTGCCTGCCGTGCACCATCCTCACAGTTGCTCCTCTGCTTAAGCCCATTGCTCAGCAACGACGTCAATTCATCTTGTTGAAATATGTACCCCCTTTCACTGCTTTTCCACTTTACCGACATGATGTCCTTCTCCAGGGACTGGTCTCTCCTGATGACGTGTCTCAAGTATGTAAGGCATAATCCTGGCATCCTTTTTCCAAGGGTCACTCTGGCCTTACTGCTTCCAGAATAGATGTGTTTGTCCTTTTGGCAGTCCATAGTACTTTCAATATTCTTCGCCAGGGCCACAATTCAAATACATCCATTCATTGAACAGTCTTTAATATCAATGTTACTTGCCATGAGAAAACTCTTAGGGACTCAGAAATCATCCATTGATAGAAAATTACCATCCCAAGAGAAACCATTTTTTTTCTTATCATGGATATAATTTCATTAGTATTTTCAGGTAAACTGCAGGATGCTAAATTAAATTTTATTTTCAGATAAGAGACACTTTTTAGTGTCCTAAATATTGAAATGGACACACATATACAAAGACAAAACATTGTCTGGGATTGTAGTTTAACTAAATGCCTTGGATTATTTGTTGACAAATCTACCAACTCTATATATCACTGACTAATTGTTGTTTGCTATCCTTGCTGAATATATAGAACTTAATACAATAGAATATATGAGGAATAAAAGAAACAGGAAAGTGGTGATGAATATCTTTAAACATAACATAGGCATTGACAACACTTCTTCAAGTGGTAAGTTGATTGTTAGGAAACAACAAGTTCCCACAGAGAGAGGGCAAAGGGGAGTAATGACCAGGGGGAGAAAGATAGTTATTTTAAGTGGAATCTTTATAACAGATAAGAATTGAGACACGTGAACATAAAGATGCTAAGGAATGGAAAGACGGTGAGAAAAAACTAAAAAGTCCTATGTGTATGTATTATGCTTTTGCGAACTCTATCATAAATACATGATTTTAAAGTGCACGTGTTTAATACATCGTAAGTAAATTTGTTTCAACTCAATAATAAAAAAGAGAAACTAACCATGATTGAAAGACATTCTCAGAGCATTTGATTCATGCACACACTGAACATTTTCTTCAACCTTCTTCGGAGCCTGGATAAAAATGAATGAAACTGCTCATTGAGGAATTGATGAGGTATTTAAAGGCTATAGGGGCTTGAATATGTTGTGTTGGCATAATAACCACAGAGGATGTAAAAAGTAAATCAAAGAAGACTGTCTTTATAAGCATTCCTCAATTGCAGGCCATAAATTATAACATTGTAATCACTCACTGCCAGTGAGCCGATTCCTACTCTGAGCAATCCTGTGGGACAGAGTGGCATTGCCACCATGGATTTCCAAGACTGAATTTATTTACAGGAAAAAAAACAGCCATCTCTCTCCTGGTAGGGGTGGTGGTGGGGTGGATTCGAACTTCTGACATTCAGCCTTACATTCTTATGCAACATTAAAATGTCCAAAGAATAATTGATGATGCAAGACATTTGATAATTGAGTAGATGGGCCTTCTAACCACAAGGTCTGCAGTTCAAAACCACCAGCTAATCCATAGGAGGAAGACCGGGCTTTCTCTTCCCATAAAGTGTTATAATGGCGGAAACTCGGAGGCA